ATTAATGTTAGCAGAAAGGTGTGACTGCACTGGGACTATAATAAATCACTTGCTTGCAGTGTCATATCAAAACCCTATCAGAGAGTGAGTGGCAAGTAGCAATTAAGCTGCATCTAGTAGCAGGCTTTAGAGTAGCAAGTGAGTTGATGTACTTCTGTTGTACAGTTGCATCTGGTAGCATGCTTGAAGGCAGAATCTGACACATTTTCATTTGTGCGTGCCCTGCCTCCCCCTTTATTTTATTTACCATTTCTCTCCGCTCCTCTTTCTCACATCGTGCACTTGTCTCAGTCACACTTTAGTTAAGTCCACAAACTAATCCCAGCCAAACTGAGTAAAAAGCAAACATCACTGGAGAGCTTCTTTGAAAGAGGGGAAATGAAGAGGCAGCAGAAGACTCTTAGACTGCCAACAAAAAGAAAGCTACATTTAAAAGAAAATACTGAGAGTCCTACTAAAATTATGAGTTCATTACAACAGGTGATACACATTCTCCAAGTCCACTTTGTATAATATGTGGCAACCAGCCATCCAATGAAGCCATGAAACCCTCAAAACTGCTTCACCATAAGGAGACCGAGCACCCTGCATTAAAAAACAAGCCTCCGGAGTTGAACACAAAAAGTGAACACAAAGAACTGAACCAATTATTGATAGCCATCACTTCATCAAATGTGTCTGTACTGAGAGCATCCTTCTTAGTAGCTAACCACATTGTTAAAGCGACAGAAGCCCTTTACTATTGATGAAGAGTTGATCCTGCCTGCTGCTAAAGACATTTGCAGTCTTCTAGGAAAGGCTGCAGTTCAAAAGGTGACACATGGTCCTCTTTCAGCTAGTAGCATAACTAGATGAACTAATGAAATAGCAGAGGATACTGAGGCACAATTGTTAGAGATAATTAATGAGTCACCTTGGTAAGCAATGCAGGTTGATAAGTCAATCCATGTTGACAATAAGGCAACAATGATTGTTTTTGTGCAGTATATTTTTCAGAGGATATGCATGAGGATATGCTATGTGCATGTTTTTTCGCTTTCTCTCTCTCTTTTTGAGATAGGAACTCACTCTGTTACCCAGGCTGGAGGATAGTGGCATGACCACTGTCCACTTGGCTCACCACAGCCTCCACCTCCCAGGTTCAAGTGATCCTTTCACCTCAGTCCCTAAAGTAGCTGGGACTACAGGCATGTGCCATTATGCCTTACTAACTTTTGTATTTTTAGTAGAGATGGGGTTTCATCATGTTGGCCAGGCTGGTCTCAAACCCCTAAGCTCAAGCAATCCACCTGCCTCAGCCTCCCAAAGTGCTAGGATCACAGGCGTGAGCCACCACACCCGGACTATTATGTGTACTTCTGTTGACAACCAACACAACAGCTGCAGAAGTATTCAAATCTCTGGATGATTACATATCAGGAAAACTGAATTGGTCATTTTTGTGTCAATATATGCACGAATGGAGTGGCTTCTGTGACTAGACAGCTTTCTGGTTTCACTGCTTGGGTCAAAGAGGTTGCTTCTGAATGTGACTCTACTCACTGTGTCATCAATAGAGAAATGCTGGCTAGGCGAAAAATGTCACCTGAACTTAACAATGTTTCCCAAGATGTGATGAAAATTATCAACCATATTAAATTACATGCCCTACCTCACATCTGTTCACACCGCTCTGTGAGGAGATGGGTGTAGAGCACACACGTCTTCTCTTGTACACAGAAGTGAGATGGCTTTTTAAAGGTAGGTCACTGAGTTTTTGACTTATGAGGGCTACTGCAGAGATTTCTGTTAGAAAAACAGCCACCACTGGCAGAACATTTCAGTGACACAGAATAGGTCACCAAACTTGCTTCCTTGTGTGACATATTCAATCTGCTCAAGAAACTCATTTTGTCACTTGAGGAGAGAACAACAACAGCGTTCCAGTTGGTAAGTAAAGAGGCTGCATTCAAAGCCAAAATGGAATTACGTGGGTGACAAGTAAACACTGGGATTTCTGACATGTTTCAAACATTACAAGAGATTTTGAAAGAGACTGAGCTAGTGCCTTCTTTCTCTCAGCTGGTGCATGAACACCTGTCACAGATTTAAAAAGAATTGCAGCATTACTTCCCGACTACAAAAGACTCCCAAACTAGGAAGGAATGGATCCACGACCCGTTTGTGAATAAGCCAGGCGAATCAACTTTGCCCATGCTAGAAGAGGATCAATTGTATGAGATCTCGAATGATAGTAGCCTTAAAAGTATGTTTGGGACAACTTCAAATCGCTATATACATTGTGGATTAAAGTCAAGACAGAATATCCTGAGATTGCCACAAAAGTACCAAAAAGTCTGCTTCTATTTCCAACATCCTGTCTTTGTGAAGCACAGTTTTCTGTAGTGACAGCAAATGAAAAGAGATAATGGAGTAGACTGAACATAAGCAACACACTTCAGGTGTCACTGTCTCCCATCACCCCCAGAATGGGACCAGCTAGTTGCAGGAAAACAAGCCCAAGGTTCCCATTTATTCTACATTATGGTGAGTTGTATAATTATTTCATTAGATATTACACCGTAATCATAATAGAAATAGGGCGCACAATAAATCTAATGCACTTGAATCATTCCAAAACCATCTCCCCTCACTGAGTCTATAGAAAGTTGTCTCCACAAAACTAGTCCCTGGTGCCAAAAAGGTTGGAGACCACTGATATAATTCATATATAATAGCAACTTGACAAGTAAGCTAAAAAAGAGCATCAAAACTTTAAGAATACTACAAACCTAAAGGATAATGAAAAATTAGTGCTGACTAGTAACTTTGTGTGTTTAAGAAATTTAAGACCCATTAAAATATTAAAGCATCATACATCTAAAACATATTTGTAATGAGGTATTTAAAATAATTTACAAACTATTTTAGTAAATTGTTTTACAATATAATTATCCAATGCCATTTGTGCACATACTAAAATTGCCAGGACTGATCATTACATTCATCTAGGCAAAACTTTCACTATATAAATTTTTCAGGTAGAAAAGCATGTAAAATTTGCGAAAATTTCATTCAAGTTGTGAGCAACAACTAAATCTCTCATTTTGACTTTACACAAATAATATCCAATTCTGCTCTCTTATCCATTCATTTTTATTAAGATTTTCTTACCTGAATATTGCTATACCCATTATTATTACTGTAAACTATACTGCTTCCCTAACACAGAAATTATTTTTCCCTTTCGGTATGATACGGTATTTGAAATATATATTTAGGGCCAGGCATGGTGGCTCACACCTATAATCCCAGCATTGCTCACACCTATAATCAGGCAGGTGGATCACCTGAGGTTAGGAGTTCAAGACCAGGCTGACCAACATGGTGAAACCACATCTGTATTAAAAATACAAAAGTAGTCGGGTGTGGTGGTGCATGCCTGTAATCTCAGCTACTCAGCCACATATATACAGGTGGCTCACACCTATAATCCCAGCATTTTGGGAGGCCAAGGCAGGTGGATCACCTGAGTTCAGGAGTTCAAGACCAGCCTGACCAACATGTTGAAACCCTATCTGTACTAAAAATACAAAATTAGACAGGCGTGGTGGTGTGTGCCTGTAATCCCAGATACTCAGGAGGCTGAGGCAGGAGAATCACTTGAACCCAGGAAGTGGAGGTTGCAGTGAGCCAAGATTGTACCACTGCACTCCAGCCTGGGCAATAAGAGTGAAACTCTCTCTCAAATAAATAAATAAATAAATTTAATTAAACATATGTTTAAAATGTGAAACAGACTGATAGTACCTTAATCACTATACCACAATTCCACTTGTTAACATAGCAAAATGTGAGAGAAAAATTTTTAAATATTAAATTTAAGGAAATAAGATACAATGTATGAGTTATACAAAATAAAATGAATATTTATTAAAATATAAATAAAACTGCATTTGATTAGACTAAAGAAAAGAATTAACAAAATTATCAAAAGAAAAAACGTGTTATAATTCTATCTTTTAAAAAAGTAGAAATTAGTATATATGTGTGACAGTGAAGGGGTAGAACAAATCACAATTTGGTGGAAATCAAATCATGTGTATTTCCTTTGATTACATAAAGTAACTTCATGCTAGAAGTTTAAAAGAATGTATACTGTCTTAAAAGAAAAACAAAAGTCATTTTCCAGATTTAACAAAGAAAAATTAATACAACAAAAATGTTGTACAAAACATTTTTTGTACAAAAACATTAGTACAACAAAAATTTTATTTTAAAACTTTTTCTACACCCAAAAAATCAATAAATGAAAAATTTAATAGTATTTCAAATATAAAGAGAACATTATGGATTTTAATAGGCAATTCACTAAGCAGGAAATAATAGCAAATGAACACATAAAAAGACATTTACAATAGTAAACAGGAAAATGCACATTAAAATACCATTCACACCCATCACCTTGGCAAAAGTAAAAATTCTCACAATTTTCAAGTGTTGACGAGAACATGAAGAATCAGGAACGCATACTCTGTTGGTGGAAGTATACATTACCAAAGTGACTTGAAAAACAGTTCAGCAACATGTAATAAAGTTGAGGATATAAAAACTCTCAGATACAACAATCTCACTTTTAAGTATGCATCCTAGAGAAATTCTTAAATATGTACATGAAAAGACCAGTACAAGGAGTGCAATGTAGCATTGTTTATAACAACAAAAGGAAAATTTACCTAAGTGCCACAAGCTCTGTAGTTCACAGGAAGTTAGATGATGAAACTAAAAAATGCTTTTTAAAATTTACACATGACAATAAAATGTGAGTGCAAAGAAGAACAAACCTTGGACAGATGATATCAAAGTCATACTGGTAAACAAAATTACTCATCTGAAATGAAGACGATATCAGCACTTGCAATTAATGCACATAAAGTATTTCTATGTCAGAAACCATTTTAAAGTCAATCATTTACAATAATGAAGGCAACATAGAAAATGTGTTATTTTTTTGTACTCACCAAGTCTTAGTGTTAACTTCATATTTATAAAGATCATCAACCAATCCATATTTGTTGCCTGGCAATGCTTTATACCCTCCATGAACATAAATGGACTTTGTTATTTCATCATACACACTGGTATGGCCATATCCACCTTGTACAATAGCTCCTTTAGTTTCTGGAACAAGCCAAGTGTTTGATGCTGTAACAGAAAGAAAATAAAATATAAACTTTAAGTATGTTTTTAAATATAACCAATATATCACCAAATATACCAAGAAGTTAATTCTAATGACATATTTTTATGAATAAACATCATCTAATATTAATTTAATCAAGAAACACTTATTAAATATGTGTCAGGTTAAATGCTGGGTTTGAAGTTGAGTAACACTGGTCTTTCCCTAGATGAAATTAAACTCTGAAATACTAAAAAGAACATTTTTTGTGTTTGCAAGAGAAAAAGGAAAACTTTATTCTTATATTACATAAATAACTCTAAAAAAATTTACAAATATTTTATGAGAGTCTACTATGTGACAGAGTTAGTCATTGATATTGAAAAGATAAAATGTTATGATTCCACCCTTAATAATCTAAGATTACTTGAACACATTTTTAGTACTGTGCTGGTCCTTTATTTGTTGGTTATAAGCCCAACTTTCCTTTTTATAAAGTCCTTTATATTGCAGAGGATGAAAACCAAAACAATAAAATATCCAAGACTCTCTTGACAATTGTATCACTATTAGGTTCCACCAGTGGGAGTACTAGTATAAGATTAAAGGACAAAAGGAAATATTCTGTTTTTGCCTCTAGCAGCAGGAACAGGAAGACTGTGGTAGGTAATGGCGGTGCTGGCTTAATAGGTATTCCCTGCTCAGTATCAAAAGTGGTATGTTTAGTTGCTCAGTGGCAAATGTGATCATAGGCTCCAGCCTAGGTATGTACCCACTTCTGGATTTCTGGGTGATACCTTCCTTTTGGTGTTTCTAGTCCGTCTAACATTTTTGTAACTAATTTCCTATTTTAAAATCCTATTCTGCTTGCTGTATCTTCAAGAGAGTCATATCCCAATGCAGTTTGACTAATAAAAACACCAATCATACGCAAGGGATGCTTTTAAGAAATGCATATGAAAAACACACAATTTCTTGGCCTTAGAAAATTTGTTATAAAAAGCAGCTATATAAAAATCTGTCATTCACTTTTAAATATGCAGATAGATCACATCTTCATCCTTCCTCTAACCAGCCACCGAAAATGTGGCATACTAGTTAGCTCATTGAAAATACCCAAATCAACTAATAAAAAATGATAATGCTTAAAAACTCTTTGCATTTACAAAATTCTAAGGTAGTACAGAATACAATTCTACAATAATCATAAAAAACAGAAATATCAAAACAGAGTCATCAAAGCCAATAGTACTTCATTTATGTTAAGAAACTTTGCAATACTCACATGTAATTAATGGGCATTACATTTTGAAGGTAATTTCCAAAATATGAAGTAAAAAACAAGTTATCAGAAATAATTTAATATTCCCTAACCACTTATTTAAGTATATCTATACATTTGAACTAAAATATTTTCATATTTTTATTCATTTTCCTTTTAATAAAGATAGATAATTGATACTTATCAAAAAATGTTGAATCAAGAAGTATAAAATGTAAAAGCTACCCTTTTCCCCAGACCACTACCTAGAGGTACTTTTCACAATTTGTTATGTATCAGACTATTTTCAAACTACAGTTCTGAATATTTTTGTAGACATATATAAAATGCATGTACATGATGTACATAGATTTGTTTATACATATGTATGTGTGTGTGTGTGTGTGTGTGTATGTGTGTATATATACCACTAAAAAATACTGTTTCAAGTATTGTTTTACTTAACAAAACATTTGAGGCATCATTCTATGTCCCATTTATTAGTTTTTTAGTTTTTTAACAGCTAAATTCCATTGTGTTGATAATATATAATTCATTTAAATAACTCTCCATTGTTACTCATTTGGGTTTCAATTTGCCCTTAAAAACAATGTTGAGATAAACAACCTTGCAATCAACAGCAGCATCATTCTTTAACACAGCATAGTTCTCGGGAACTATCTCATTATTTCATTTAATAATAACCTTTGTAGGAGTATATTATTTCTATCCCTTCTTTACAACTTAGGAAATTCAAAGCTAGAAAAATTGAATAACACATCAAAGGTTCAAAAGTTAATATGTGAAACAAGATAGGGTAGACTAATTTTTTCCCTGCTCCTCTCTACAGACCTTAGACATAGTGTAAGAGACAAGCAAAGAAAAATTCTGAAGGGTGCAAAGAGGAAGGCAGACTGGCTAGGGACTGGAGGATGTATATCTCATGACACTCACTCACCCAGCACAAGGAGGTTACTCAGGCCCAGCATTTCTCAACCCTCATCCTTACAACAAAAGGTTACTTGGGTACGCTTATTCCTTACCCAAATTGAACAAGAGTCCCATGGACAACACCAGATGATCCTAGCAGCACTAGCAAGAGGGACCCACCAAATACTACTTACAGTAAGTATGCAGAGAAGGCACTCCCCTTCCCTATAGGGCCTAAGACTGGAAAGAGAGATCTCACCACAAGACCTGAATGCAAAACCCAAACTAGATGACTATCTGCTAAGATAAAATATTTAAAATAGAAACTAGAGACTCTCATTATAAAACCCAAAATGTCAAGTTACAATCAAAAATTGCTTGTCATACCAACTACAGGAAAAATCACAACTTGAATGAGAAAAGACAATCAAGTAATACTAACACTGAGATGAATCAGATGTTAAATTTATCTAAAAAGATTTTTAAAGTAGCCATGATAAAAATATTCCAAGTAACTACAAATATTTTTAACTTTTAAGTTCAGTGGTACAAGTACAGGTTTGTTACACAGGTAAATCCGTGTCATGGGAATTTGTTGTATCAATTAGTTCATCACCCAAGTATTAAGCCTAGTACCCATTAGTTACTTTTTCTGATCCTCTTCCTCCTCCCATTATTCACTCTCCAACAGGCCCCAGTGTGTGTTGTTTCCCTCTATGTGTCCATGTGTTCTCATCATTTAGCTCCCGGTTACAAGCAAGAACATATGGTATTTGGTTGTCTGTTTCTGTGTTAATCTGTGAAGGATAATGGCCTTCAGCTTCAATCATGTCCCTGCAAAGGACATTATCTCATTCTTTTTTGTGGCTGCATAATATTCCATGGTGTATATGTACCACATTTTCTTTATTCAGTCTATCACTGATGGGCATTTAGGTTGATCCTTTGCTATTGTGAATAGTGCTGCAATGAACATATGTGTGCATGTGTCTTTATAATAGAATAATTTATTAATATATTTCTTTGGGTATGTACCTAGTAATGGGATTGCTGAGTTGAATGGTATTTCTGTCTTTAGGTCTTTGAGAAATCACCACACTGTATTTCACAATGGTTGAACTAATTTACACTCCTACCAACAGTGTATAAGCATTCCTTTTTCTCTGCAACTTCGCTACTATTACAAACTATCTTGAAACAAAAAAAAAAAAACACACAGACACACACACACAAAAATATCTCAGCAAAAAAAAAGTTTTTAAAAAAATGACAATAACAAATAAAAACTAACTGGATAGGCTCAATATCAGAGTAGAAATGACAAAGGAAAGAACTGTTAAACTTGAGGACAGATCAGTAAAACGTATCAAGAGAGGGACTGGGGCAAGGGGTGAAAAACTAACTATTGGGTGCAATGCTCAGTACCTGGGTTACAGGATCATTCGTACCCCAAACCTCAGCATCATGCAATATACCTACATAACAAACATGCTTTTAGATTCACCCCCCTGATTTTTTTTAATTTTAAAATTATAAAAATTAAAAATTAAAAATAGAAATAAATAAATAAAATTTACCCAATATAAAAAACAGAGAAGACAGACTGGAGAGAAAAAAGTGAACAGAGTCTCAGAGACCCTTAGGACAATAACAAATTGTTCAACATTTGTATCACCATAATCCCAGAAGTAGAGGAAAGAAAAATGGGGCTTACAGAGTTTTTAAAGAAATGATGGCCAAATACTTCCAAATTTTGTGAAGACATAAACCTACAGATTCAAGAAACTAAGTAGGCTAGGTACAGTGAGTCATGCCTACAATCCCAGCACTTTGGGAAGCAAAGGAGGGTGGATCACCAGGTCAGGAGTTCAAGACCAGCCTGGTGAATATGGTGAAATTCCATCTCTACCAAAAATACAAAAATTAGCTGGGTATGGTGGCATGTGCCTGTAATCCCAGCTACTCGGGAGGCTGAGGCAGGAGAATTGCTTGAACTGGGACCCTCCCTGCAAGAGACAGAGGTTGCAGTGAGCCAAAATCATGCCACTGAACTCCAGCCTAGGCTACAGAGCAAGACTCCATCTCAAAAAAAAAAAAAAAAAAAGAAAGAAAGAAAGAAACTAAGTAAATCTTAAATAGGTTAAACCCAAAGAAATCTATGCCAAGATACATCATAATTAAACTTCTAAAAACTAAAGATAAAGAAAAATATCTTGAAAGCAGCCAGAGTGAAATGACAAATTATCTCAGGAAACAACAATTTTAATAATAGTGGACTAATAGTGGACTTCTTATCTGAAACCAGGGAGGCCCAAAAGAAGTGGCATAACTGTTTCCAAATGCTGGAGAGAAAAAGTACTGTCAAGTATTTTTCTACCTCCAGTGAAACTATCCTTTAGGAAATTAGAAGAAAAAGAATTTCTTAAATTTCAAAAAACTAAAAGAATTTGTCATTAGCATGTCTCTCCTGAAATAATGGTTAGAGAAATTTCTTCAAACAGAAAGATAAAGGAAGGAAGCTTGGAGCATCAGAAAAGCAGTCAGAACAACAAATAGAGCAGAAATATGAGTACAGACAACAGATTATCCTCATGAATGTTTATAAATCATATATGATGGTGTTACAAATTATAACACCATTGATACTCAAGATAATGATATTTAAAGGTTAGAAAAGTAAAGGTAAAGTGACATAAATGAAAGCAAGTTTTCCACATACCACCTGAGGTGGTAAATTATTGATGCCAGTAGACTGTGATTAGTCAAATATGTATATTTTAATATCCAGAGCAACCACTAAGAAAATGATACAAAGAGTTACTACCAAGAACA